AAACCACTGGTTTCTCTCTGTACAGGTAAACTTGAAATGTTAGATATTCGACAGTTCAGTTGTTAATTTCATGTTTTGAGCATTCTCATATAAGAATGAAGTGCGGATAGCATTAAAGGGTGCAATAGCTAAAATGAATGTAGATGTAATAGTGTGTCTAACAGGCTGAATTACATAAAGAACACATTTTGTGATTTGCTTCTCATATCAGTGATGTTTACCATCGGGACAGGACAGCAAGGATTGACTTGGAGTATTTATGTTTTGGCTTAGACAAGTCTATGGTTTGAACTTATATATTTAAAAAGTAATGTTTAAAGGTTTGGGTTCTTTTTGGTATTTAGCTAAGCAAGAAAAGCAAACAGGCAAATAAAGAACCAGAATAAAGAGAGTAAGAAAGCACAGGTTCGTTCACAAGAGGAATTTGCTGTATTTGCCATGAACCGGTCTTCTACAGAAGCCTCGCACTTTCTAATGGTAAATTTCCTCTTTACAAATTCAAACATCTGCAGTTAGATAACAGAATCATCACATTCTCCCAAATATGAAGGGTGCTGGGCCTGGTCTGTACTGAAATTCATTGTTAGGTGTTCCTTTGTGACTGCGTTTAACGGCTTCAGTCTCAGGGACCACTGGAAATGGCAGTGTTAGTGAGAATTTATCTTCTTCTCAGAGCATTGTATTCCTCTTTTAGAATCACTTGTGTAGTCTGGCTGTGACAAAGTGCCATCTGGCTAGACAGGACACAAACTCTCAGTGCCTGCATAGGTCTGAAGTACGTATTAATATTTGCTCAAAGTTATTCTGGGTGAGTTGGATTAACGTTTGAGTCTTTTCATATAAAATAACTTTCCAATTATACACTGGCAGAATTGGAATTCTAACAGCTTCCACTTGAAATCAGATAAGTGAGTACCCAAATAATTTCTGTTTATAACCGCAGAGAAGAATTTACAAGGTCTGTAGGAAACCATGACAAGTACTAAGGACTGCCTCGTAATTGCACGGTGTAAGGTGGTTTTCTAATAGTGTGTATCTACTCAAATGTAAATCTCATGATTCCTGAAGCAAGTCAGACACTTAAGATTAGTAAATTCATCTGCACATTTGGAATTATGTCTACAGTTAAACCTCATGAATCACAGCAAAGTTGGTTGACAGGAAGAAAAAAGCATTATTATGTAAGTACTGGATAATGTTCTGCAGTCACCTAACAGGCAGTGACCTCCCTACTTCAGGCAGCTTGTTCCTTAACCTGCTGTACTGTCATCACCCCATTGAAAGTGCCCCATATTTTGACAGCTTACCGGAGACTATTTCATTGTTCTTGAACAAGCATAAAATTCAAATTGAAGACAAGTAAATACTTGAGGTTTCTGAAAGCAGATCTGTGCCATCCGGTAATTACTGCTCCTTTTAATTAATTAATTTATTTTAAACACGCTGAAGAGTCAGCAACAGAACAACTTGCAAAGCCATTTTATACTGACAGCTTCGAAACACCATTTGGCACTCAAGTAGATGTGCAAATGAGCTTACAATTAAACGTGAGAATGGAGGAAGGCTTTAGCTGAAATTCCTCCTCTCCCTTTGAAATATTTATTGAAATATTTATTCCAGCAGGAATAGCAGCAGAATGAGACACTGGCTGCTGCAGTGTGCAGCAGCAATAGAGATTACAGCAGCTTTGAAGCAGTGTTTAAACTCTGTTAAGCATTACAGTATTAGCCCATGCATTCCCTTCTCCTTCGGTGCAGTGGATACTTTAGAGCTTTCAGGGATTTCATGCTGGGTTGGAATTTGTTTCTGTAGCAGGGTGAGACCTCTTCAAGAGGGCAAGGAGCTACCCACACCAACATGCCTTAGATGCAGGTCTGCATGAGTAATGGTGGTGCATGAATTCAGATGCTAGACAGCTGCTTATCAACCAGTGAGTTTTCTTTCCCACAAAAAAGGCAGCTTTCTAAGCTGCAAAAACAGCATCCTGTTTTATATTTTTTTAAATGAAATGAGATACCAAATACAGATCAGTATCAAGCTACCTGTGTAGCCACTGTATATCTCAGGCAAACAAACACCCTGACAGCGGAATTTAGCTTGGCTACAATCCTCCAAGGGCTGAACCTTGCTCCAAGCTGCCATTACTGAGAAGAGCCTAATCTGCATTCCTGTTTAAATGAAGCTGCAATGAAGGTAGGTTGAAGTAATGTGGTGTGAGAGCTCAAATTTTAAAGATGATACTTTTAATCTGAGGACACGCACGTTTCTTCTCTCGGTTTAAGTTACAAGCATTATGAAGTTTATTTCAACCTGGCATAAATATATCATTTTTGACTATCACTAGCATTACGAAGATTATCAACTAGTCCAACTGTGCCATTCACACACTGCTTTATCTGAAAGCAGTGCTTATTTTTATTGTGTAGAAAGAAATAGTAAGTTCCCCATCACCAGGACAAACCACTTCTGATTTCTAATAATGTGATGAAACTTTATGATGAAAGTATTTTACTGTGTATAATATTTGGAACTACAAGTTTGTGTTACTTGTTCGACTCCCTCTCTTTTGCAAAAGAAAAAAAAATGTGTGTTTTTTTGTGGGTGAATGTGTACTGAAAGACAGAAAGTAAGGGAAACAAAAGTAATGTATCTGCTTATTGTTGTGAAAAAAAATGTATTTGTATTAAACAAATGATCCAAATTTCTGTAGTATTCCACATTTGTCAGTTTGTTTTAGAGGGCATTGCATGTGGACCATGAATTTGGCAGCACAACACTCTGGCAAGAAAGGTGAACAATATAATCAGCTGCACATCTAGTACTGATGAATCTGCTGGATGCCCAGTTATGGGTATCTCACAGTTGTGCAGAACACTCAGAAAAACACTTTGCTGTACAAAACTGGTTTAACTTGCAAAGGGGAAGGAAGACTGTGAAGAGATAAGACATGTAAGAGCAGGCTTAACAACGTACTCACTTGTTTTTAGAGCCATAGCAAATGGACAGAGCAAGCAAGGGTAGGAGGACGAACATTTTCTTAGGAGCACAGTGCTTTGGAATGAACAGAGGCAGGTGATTCTGTAATGTCCACCCCAATAAACTCTTAAAAATAGGTGGGACAAACATTAGAAACTTAAATTGTTTAAAGCTAATCGTACCTGTCTAACTTGATAAGCAGTTCTAGCCAAGCTAAATGATCAGTTTTCTGAAGAGGACTGCATCCATCTGCCACAGATCACTGCTAGCAGCTGGGAAGGAGGTGGGCTAAGCTTTCAATCTTCAGTGGTTTTGCTGGAATAGGTCATCGTATGGCTGCTGCCTGCTACAGGTATAGTCAAAACACAGGAGAAGTGCTCTAACAAATTACATTCCCCACATCCAAGGCCAACAGATGGGTCATTTTGTTAAAGCTGCCTTGACACTAGCTCACCATTTAAATCAAATACGGGTTCATGACTCTCTGCAAAATATAAAATTGAAGGAGAAGCATAACCAAAAATATACTAGTAATAAAAATATAATTGTATGTTAAAATATACAAAAATACAAGCATGTTTATTATTAGAATCTATAGGTATAAGCCTGCTACACCTTTTTGCTTCACACAAAAGAGTTAGAATCTCTGGATCAGTAACACTTAAAAAAGTAATTACTTTTCTGTTCAGTTTGCTCTCTATACACATGAAGAAGGATGCTAGATGGTACTTACTTCCCCATAACATATCGAGGCTATTCTGTATGAAATTGATCTAAAAGCCAAAAAGCCTCACTGGAAAAGCAGCTCACCCACAGTACTTTGTTCCACATATCCACTACTCGTGATACTGTGCTCAGAAAATAACCTTGGATCAATTTAAGACAGTGCTTGAGAACAGAAAAGGATACAGATCTGTTGGAGGGGGCCCTAGGAGAAACCCATGGAATTACAGAACGTTCTTTTGTTTGTCAACAAGCTATAAGATTATTTTATATATATATATATATATATATACACACACATACACACAAGTAAACATGCACACACACACACATATATATATAAGGAAATAAGGTTAGAATGAATGAAGGCCATTTTATCCATATGTATGTCTATGTCTATGGGAAGTAATTAACATGTTCTACATGTTGAGGATAGTTCACAAACAACACACATGAAAAGTTACCAGATTTTCAATGGTTTTGTTAAAAATAAACTAAGAAAAAACCTTAATAGGTCTCAGAAGCAGGACTGCTGCTTACAGGAGACCCAAAGAAAGCAGCAGTCAAAAGAACAAATCAGCTGAAGTTCTGGCAAAGGCTTTAGTGATTGTTCCTCAAGTGCTACTCTGCCTCTTGGTTTGCTGCACATTTCTAGAGCTGGAGGGTTGGGGAAAAGAATACTTCATTAAAAATCAATGGCTAAGAACTTCTGACCATTTCATGAGCCAGAAAGTGGTACTGTTACATAGTAAATTTTTAAATCAGCATGTTGCTGTCTTGGTTGACTACATCTGAATGTACTTACACAAAAAGAATGCTGCAGCCTTCCTCTAATCTGTCTAGAAAATGACTTTTTAAAGCAGTAACAGCACTTTGGTCTAGTAAATTAATTCTATTTTTCATTTGTAACAGGTAACTTGTTGCACACGGAACTGTTTCTTTTAAGAAAACAGGTCTGTATTTGCCATTTGAGCAGTTAAGCTCTAGGGAATTCAATTGCTGGAATACTGCAGGAAGTCTCCCATAGTCAGCTGTTTTTTAGTTTCATTGTTAGGAAAGTTGCACAAGATCATTCCAGCTGCACTTAAGGCAATAGCTTGAATTACAGAACAGCTCATTAGCAAAGGAAAACAGAAAGATGATGTATGGATCATATCATGCTGGTACTGATACATCACTTAAGATCTGACATACTTAGGAAGTGCAGCTGTTTGCCCTTATCTAGAAAACTGAGGTGGGAAGGTTCCTTAAGTGGAAAACTGCTGAGAAAAATGAATAAATCCTTTTTTATTACTCTTCTACATCTATTAGGCTTTTTTTTTTTTTTTTTTAAGTTGGAATCCAACATTTTTGGATTCCAGATTCTGTCTTCATAGAGGGCACTGTCATTACAGAGATGCATGGAAGTGCTCCCCCAATAAAGTAAAAAATAAAAATAAAAAGATCATGCATCATGTAATTCTCAAATATATTTCTTGAACTACCTAGGAATGGCTTAGGAAATGGTTTGTATCTATTGCCTGTGCTGCCTTCTTGGCTTGTAGCATCCCATTGCACATACTGACATTCCACAAATGATCAGCATGTGCTTTGGTAGAGGGGAAACAAGTGAAAATACAGTAACAAGCCAGACTAACTGCTTAACTGCAGGCTTGTTTTTCCACACCAGAAATGTTTGTAGTCTCATCCCCTCAGAAATTTCATTGTAGATCAGACTGAAGAGCCATGGTGAGCAGTTCCATTAATTCAGTCATATGTGTTTCTGACACTAAAGAACTGTCAATCCACCACTAGAAACCAGCCCTGAGAAGGGTATTATTTTCTCTTTCGTTTCTTAAATCAACAGCTGATGGCTATTTGCTTAGTGTATGTGAACCAAAATCCAATTGCCACTGGAACCAAAGCCAGCTAGTTCTTCCCAGCCAAGACCATCAATATGATGAGCTCTAGAATCAGAACACAACAGCTCTGCTGCTATTGAAAAAATGTGAATAGAATTCATCCAGTTCCTCAGAGAAATCTTAGCTCCCCAAGGAAGTATGCTGCAAATTATAGTGTAACAAATTAAAAAGTACAGTTCCTTTGAAAAAAAAACACAAAGTTCTTACATACAAGCTGGCTCCTATGTTAAAGCACTACTTTTTGTATGAATTTGTTTATGTTTAATTTGAGCCCTGACATTTAAAGAAATTTGAGTTTTAACAATGACAGCTTTGCAGGTCACAGTTAAGAGAGAAATGGTGAAAAGAAGTCTTCCATAAAATAACCTAATCAGAAAAAAACCCTACCAACTATAATAAGCTTATAACAGAGGATTTTAACATTAGAATTTATAAACCTTACAAGTTAAACAGCATTTCAAGGTATTCCCTACAGCAAATTCGTAAGAACAAAGAACTTCACAGGAATATTTCCTCAATCCAGCTGTTAGCAGCAAATGCTTTCTTTTTTAAGAAACAAGAGTATGAACACAGATCTCCTGAGGGCATTCATCCTGTTTTCAACCTAAGAGAAGAAACTCATCCCTGTACAAAACCCTAATAGGCGACTTTAAAAGCACGGGCATGGGAGGATTATGAAACTGATAGGAAAGATTCAACTATCTCATCAGTGTAACATGAGACAACTCTCTCTCTTGTTCCCCTTCTTCTCCAGGCTTCTCAAGTACAGAAACGAAACAAAAATTATATAGACAAAAAGGGTTTTTTTGTTTGTTTGTTTTTACCTTTCTGTGGTTTCTCACAGCTACATTAAAATAGTGTATCACCTAAAGGCACCCCAACCACTTTCATGAGAGATGTATAAGAGCTGTCAGCAGCTGGGCCCACTGCTTACCAGGATACCTGCTTAGTGCTAGACTAAATGATGCAAATATTCTTGCAACTACCAGGAAAAGGCAAAGATCTCCCACTGCAAAATATTTCCAACGGGTTTCTGAATCCTGGCTGCTCAATGAGCAGGGAAGATGCACTGAACTAGTCAGATTGCCATGACATAAACAATTTGTTTGCTAACTCAGAGACCTGCATCCTGAAGAGCATGTATAGAATGAGACATTAAGGTATAGAATGAATATGAATTTGATTCATATTCAAAAATTTTAACCCAATAATATGCTGGCTGCATGTTCACTCTTTAGCACAGGTGCACAGCAAGCTTATAACAGATGCAACCCCTTTGCAAATATAATTAGAAATGCTAGCTTTATTCTTGATTCCACAATAACTGAAATAAGTTTCTTACAATTCCCTTCAGCCGTTCCTGAATCTTCATGATGCCACATCTTCTGTTTTATTCTGTTCTTCTTCAGCTTCCGCGTCTGACACCTCAGTGTGAATGCAAACAGCATCCCTGAATGACAGCTTTCTCATTTTGATGTTTGGCAGCTTCTTCAGATCACCATCCCACTCCCTTAAAGAAAAAAAAAAGTCATGAAAAACAACTAGCAATAGAAGTAGTAGGAAAGAGTAGCAGAATTGGTTCACCTTTTTTTCCTGAAGTGATGCTGCTCTTAAGTGAGGAGCCTCTCAAGTGAGGCTGCTTTTCTGCATTATATTATCATTCCAACTGCAGTATGAATGAGCATCCATGTGTTTAGCTCATCTTGTACACTACAGCAGCTGTGATTTCTTTGTGAAGAACTAAGTACTTTCAGATTTGACATTCTGGACAAAAAAAGCAGAAATCAAATAATTCACTTTATTCCCACAGCCTATTTCTCTCCTCAGTTACTTTAGGGCAATTGTTTGTAGGTTTAACATATTAAACCCTTGGTCTTTTAAGTAATGGAAGAGCAGCTTGGAGAAGTTTACTTCATCTGGATGCTTAATTTGCAAAGTTAATACAACAGGTACATGAAGGGCTTTATTCTGATTTATGACTGTTAACATTTCGTATGACTTCAGACAACCTGATCCAAGGCATCACTGCCCATGGCAGATGGACTAGAACTGGATGATGTTTAAGGTCCCTTCCAACCCAAAGCATTCTGTGATTCTGTGACTGACTTTGTGGAGACACAAAATGTTAGCAAATATTAATTCACAGAGAAGTATGTTACTTCAAAAGGCTGCAGAAAAGAGGAAGGGGTCATTTAAATATCACAAGACAAGTTCTGTATTCAATTAATAAAATGCTAGATTTTTCTGAAGAAAAAAGAGAGAATCAACTATAATGCATATAATACATATTTGGCTTGCCTCTACCAACCTAATTAAACAACATTTTCATCAGATATCCAAGTACAAAAAGTCAGCTGTGTGTGAATAAACAGAGCAGCCAGAGGTCTCATTTGGAGTTCTCTGGCATTATTCTTATGTTCTCTAACTATGACTTCCAGCTACATATCACTCTCAAGAGATGGCCATGTATAATTCCTTGCAACCTAAGCATTTGTAAGTCTTTTTATCTTCCATTACAGTATCTCATGTGGTAGAGCTGCCAGCAGGAGTGTTCATTCAATCCATTACCAAGGTATATTGGCTTGCTGGCCCAGAGGTAACGGCAACAAGTTCTACAGATTCCAGAACCTTGCTTGGTATGGCCTCAATTCTATCATGATTTTCAACTAGTATATGTGCCCAAATATTGCTGCAGACTGTAGTGCACCTGCACCTCATAAAAACCAAGAATTTCTTGCTGCTTTGGTTACTTAATAGTATGTTTAATGCTGTATGATCACAGTTACCATCTGAAGTCTCATTTCAGGGAAGAAAACAGCATTAGCAGTATTACACTGTATTTTCATTTATCAGTACATCTAGGTCTTGATCTTTAAAAACTAACAGTGAATGTTAATCCTGTTAGTGTAGATGAGCAAACAGCTTAGGTGGACAAAAAACATTCTCTGAGAATAGCCAAAAAGAGATATTTAAGTTACAGAAATAAAACTCTTAACTGTTGAAACTTTCTAACCCTTCCAATGTCTTACTGATTAGCTGCCATTAACACTTAGCCTGTAACAACTAAGAACTGCAGAATTAGCAACACCTCGTCTGGTTTTGCAAATGACAAATTCTTTAGCAGTCTGCACATATTATTTTTTAAGAAAAAAGACATACAGTAGGTCAAATTCAAACACAGTCTTTTGCACAAACAGATTTAGTAGTGAGATTACAAAGAACTTACCTGAAAAATTTAAGGTGCTTGCTGTTCACAATGTCTGGGATTTCTAGTGGGAGTGAAATTAAATACTATTAGACATGCTACATTATTCAAGTGAGTCTCATTTCAAAGAAAGAAAAGTGAAGTAAGGGCTGGACACAGAATGAGGAGTTATATTAGAAAGCTCCTAGAGAAACACATAAGTAGGAAGACCTCTCATCACAAGTGAAATTATACTTATGAACTATTCCAGAATTCGAATGTACCAAATACTGAGAATTCAATTCTAACAAATTATAAAAAGAGGGTGCTTCAGCTTCTCTTAAGTCACATATCTGAGAAACAATGAAGCATTTAAAGTTTGTGTTTAAAAAAAGGCCAATGAATAAACCAGAAAAATAATTATTATTTGTTTTCAAAGAGTTACTAGCATCCTTAACCAAGATCAAGCTGTGGGTTGTTTTTAAACAGACATTCATTCATCCACATAATAAAAAGATAATTCCACTCTGCAGAACCACTGTGAAAACAGTCAGAAAGCATACTTTCAAAAGTGGCCTGAATACACAAGCATCACTGCTAATTAGTGAGCACTAAGGCTTCTGTAAGTACTTTGAAACATCTATAGAAAAACAATTTCAAAGCACTTAAGTCACCACTGCAAGCAAGACAGATCAGTAATGGAGTTAGGAAAGTACCATCAATCTGAGTGAGTAAATCTCACAAAGGCTTCAACATGCTTCTCAACATTTGCTACAGGGAAGCTTGTTGCTGCTGCTGAAATGACTGTCCAATGCTGCACTACATGCAATGTAATATTTATAAAGAATGTTGACACCCATCTCTTCTCATGAGTTGATGTTCCTCTAAGTAAAGTAGGAATGTACATCGATAGTTTTTTAGACTGAAAATTTTCATAAAGATGAAATGTCTTTCCCAAACCTAATTTGAGAGAAATATACTGACTGCAAATCTTTATTACCTTTAGTAGTAAAAAGAAGCACAGTTACTTACGGCACAGATTATTTTTTTCTGCTCCCTGAGAATCCATAATGTTCCTACCAGATGTGTTGTTTGTAACTCATGCAAAATTTTACCTAGAAGGTCTACAGTGCTTAGCTTTGATTCAGTGCCATTTTCTTTCTGGTCAAGCCAGCCCAAAATATTACATACAACCCGTGTTTAATATCATCACTGACTTATAGAGATTTAGAAGCCTTGATTTCTTTGTTTTTAATGTAAAATAAATCATATAGCTAAAATAGACTGTTGACAGACAGTATTTTATACTGTAGATTTCACAGCCTGCAAGAAGAAAGGCTGCCTGCTACCACTGAAATGTTGAATCCACTTTACTATTTCAGCCTTTAAAAATATAACATTTTAGGTACATCTTAACACTGTCCTTGAGCAAGCCCTGAACATACAGTTTTGCATTTGTTCATCTATCAGTGTTCTTGGGTCTTACAAAAATCAATCAGATGATGCTATCAATGCAGGATTATAGATGGTTTTGCTACAGAATGCAGAATGATGATACCTACCACTTATCTTTGTGGCCAGACAGTCTTTGCAATTCAGAAAAATATTTTTTCCCTTTACATTGGGTTACAATGTTAGCTGGGGACTAATAATATATACAACAAATCTTGATACCAATTACTTTGACTTTTGCAGACTGCTTCTTGGTAAACAGGTATAGTGATAGCAATCACAGCTGAGTAAAGTAAAGCAAAGAAACATACACCTTACTCCTTTGGTTTCTGCTGTCATTTCTGAACCTAATTTGCTTTAAAAACGTTAAGTCACAAGAGTGTGTTTACTGAGATAAAAATGGAAAAAAATGGCAGATGGAGAAACAGAGCATAAGAGCTAGTGGAAAAGAAATGAAGGAAGTATTTCAGGGAACAGATAGCGTCTGGCATTTCTAAGATGAAGTGTTCAGCAACTTATTTGCTGCAATGAAACAGCAGTGAAAAATGTAAGTATTTTTTTACCACATTTCTGACACTTTCAGATACTCTTCCTGATTTTCTTCTGAGGAAGAACAAACTGTGCTAGCTCTCAAGTTTTGTCATGAAGATGGTAGTCCTCAACACCATTTCAAGACAAGGAACTGAGCTTAGTTTGTAACAAAACTTTTGAGAAATACTAGCAAATCAACCCCTTTATAGTTGATTGGATGAAGAAGCAACAGAACAGATTACTTCTAGTTCCTATGAACACCAGGAGTGACAAGCTCTCAGCTGTGGGTCTGAACAATCCTGTCTCTGTGCACAGGCTTGAACTGGAGACTTTCTAAAACATAACCAGGGAAAAAGCAGGTGGAGGATGCAATCCCATTGCCAGAGTGCCTCACAGCACTACTTTTTACGGAGTAGAATCATGTTCTGTGACAGTCTCCTGAAATATTTCATTTCTTTCCAGAAGTACATTGTTCATAAAAACATCATTTTTCATAGCACTAGCTATTTCTCTCTCCAAAAAACGAAGAACTGCACAAGAGATTTACCTAAATCTCAGAAGAACTGAAACATCACTGCTCTTGACAGAGAATATAAGCAGCATACGTGTAATATGGTGTGCTTTCCCCTTGACTTCCTCCTTTGGCTTGACCTCTCAGCAGGAAGACTGTGAGTAACAGGACTGATAATACTCTCATTAAGTTACATTAACGATCACAAACCTTATACCTCAGAATCAAGACATCTTGCTGATACAGATCCATAGTGATTAATAGTTTGTTTTAAGCTTTGTTAGCTTTGCTAAGATAATAGCTTAGATTGACTGTGCACATATGATCCCTTATACATAAAACACTGATTAAATCTGGATTGGATCTAGCTGCACCTAGGCTTGTTGCTTCTATCACTGAAGGTGTTTAGAAAGTAAAGAAGTCTACTGCAAACTTCACTGCTCTGAACCTCATCCTCTGTACAATAATCAAGTATAATTAGTCATCTCAGATCTTCTTAAGAAGCTGGCTTATTTATAATTAAGTTTTGTTAAATCACTGTATTAGATTTATATATAAATACATCCCTGCTTTTCTTTATGAGTGAAATTTGTAGTATAATCTCTGATAATGATTGTTACAGAGAACAGCTATCAGCGTTGTAGCCACCCTAGCAGACACATGCAAGTGATACAACTTTCATCTAAATTAAAATCAATTTCCTTATATCCTGAAGTTTCAAGAATAGACTAATAAAAGTGGTACATTAAGCTTTAAAGGCTGTTCTTCCCCAGAATTTACACTGTGCTACTGTAAGAACATGCCAGTTAAATGGAAACAAATAATCAAAAATGTGCAATCTTCAGATGAAATAATTATGATGCTTTCCAACAGAAATTGTACTAATTCTGAGTTCCAAGCCTATGGCACATCATGATTTAGGATTCCCTTTTAATAGCTTTCCTACAAACACGTAAGACCAGATCTGACACAAATGATGATACATCAGGTGCAAAATGGCTCTACAACTGATGTAGATGTATGTAAGGAATAAGGGAATGATAAGGAACTGCTAACAGAACTGAACAACCTTTCAGACTGAATGCTCCCTGGGTAGGTACCCTTTTTTTTTTTTTGCAGACTAAGACTTACTATACTTTTGGATATCTACCACTTTTGCAAACAGCCAGTAAAAAGGAACTGTTTCTCCATTTATATGTATCTGATATATACATCAATTTCTATGATCATTTCTTCAATATAAACAATTCATATCGTGTAGCAAATGTGCATCTACAACAACTGAGTTTAGAAATGAGTGTAAAAACTTAACAAATACTATTATAAAAGCCCCTCACGTTACAGCTTTCAGTGACAATAATTACTCAGAAGCATAAAAGCAGTTTCCAGCTGATTCCCATTTATCCCCAATCTGTAATTACAGTATTTAGCAGCAACTATTTTCTGTGAATGAATACTGCCCTAGACAGAGAGCAAAACCTGCAGCAGCTGTTATAACAAATAATGAATAATTTGAGAGCATATTTAATACATGAAGTTGCACTATGCTCTCTGAATGCTTTACTTACTAATACTATAATAACCTCCAATTTTGCTTGCAATATTTCTGGATTCCTCCTTATTTTTATGTTGTGCTTTTGATGTCTTTCTGTCTATTTTTACTTGTTTTGTCAGCTTTCCACAAGGCAACAAAAGGAAAAAAGGAATATCTTGAGCCATTTGATAACATTCATAGCATCTATTTTCCTATGAATTTTTCTGTCTAAGTAAACACCAGGGTTTTCCATTAGGCATGAAATCATAGAGATATTTTTGAATTCCTCTCTGATGGCAAAGTGTAAGTGTTACTACGTAACATTTCTAATATTTTGAGACATTCAGTTACTTTATTGGTAAAATAAAGTGGAAAGGGAAATATGACACAATCAAAACCCTGCTGTCCCTTGTATCTCAAGAATTTTGATTTGTCACTTCTTCAATTTACTTTCATTAGCTGGACTGACTGACTTTGAATACTACTTTAGCATTAAAGCAAAGTTTATCACTTGCCTCTAACATCCTTGCTTGTTAAAAAAAAATGCAAATCACAAATTTCAGTACTATTCTGTACTTGACTCTTTGCTTTTTTTAACTTTCATTATCTTTTCTTCCTTACTTAACCAGATTACTGATGCTTTCTTTCAGCCTAGTTGCAGCTATCTACTTCTCAGTGTTGTATTTCTCAGCTTGCATCTACGTGCTATCTCCTGTAAGACAAAATACTTTTACAATGCATTTATTCCTTCTTAAGAGAAACTCTAGACCTCTTACGAGGAAAAATGTTTGCGTTGTGGTTTTTGGACGACTGCCTCCCAGCTGATCTCAGAAGACTTAACTAGATAATACACTGCCAAAGGATGATCTGTGATAATAAAGAAGTCAACAAGAATAACTGGCATTACATTTTTATTCAAACTTGAGATGATGGCCAGTGTAAATGCTAAAAATCTGAAACTGCTTTCAGCTGAGCTCTCACTGGTGGCTCTCATTAGTAATGCTTAATTTGAAAGCTTCAGAATTCTTGTGTTTGATTATTAAGAGGTTAAGTATTAAGGCCTTCTCACATATTACCTCCAGCATCACCTCCTATAAGTTAAAGGAAGCACAGAGCCTCTACTTGAGAACAAGAGGGAAAACATGTTTATCCTACTTGCTGACTATCACCTGTGCCTGTAAAACAGAGTTTGCAGAGTAGACATGTCGTAACAGTCCAACATATCCTCCAGGATTGCCTGAATTCTAATAGGAATACTCCAGAAGTATTCAAGCTTTGGAAATATATCAGAAGTACAATTTTTGATGCAATCATTTTCCCACATGGGCCTTTCCCAGAACCTCATGAGCTTTTGGCTCATGAGTTGGTGGAGGCTTTGGTTGTCTTCAAGTTCATGAACCCTAAAGCCCACTCTCTCATCATATCAAAACTGCTGAAGTTCCTCATGCCACAGGTCTGCTTTGGTGGAAAGGTGCAAGCTGGGTCACAGGATTAACCCTAATGGTAAGTTGCATATTAATGAAAAAGTATTAAAGCAAAGCGTGTATAGAGATTTCATTGGCACAACCCCACCCCAAACCTAATTAATTTGCAGAGGAAAACACTGTTTATTTCCCATATGGGAAAACAGTTTTCATGCCAATGCACACTAAAATATGCACTGAAATGCATTTTTAATATAAAAGTCTTAGCATAAAATGAAGATCCAAGCATGCTGGATCACTGTATACACATAATATGTATTTGAAACTGGTAGATTAAATGCCACTTGCACTTCAAAAATATATTATACTTACCTGTACTAAAGATACAGTACAATTAAATGTCAATTAATGTAGTGGAAATATGTCAGATCTCTCTCATCCTTCTCTTCCCCCCCCAGCACTGTTCCTTTATCCTGCCCTTTTCCCTGCCCAACTTCTCTGTAAGGTACTCCATAAATACCTAGCAGTTAGTTAACTCCTCTGAGGAGTGAAAAACATATAATACTTACAAATTTTACTTTGATTTTGGCCTTTTTAGTTGGTACAGAGGTATGACCACAGGATTATTACTAATGCTTTTACATACCTATCCCATAGCCTTCATAGAGCTGTCTTTCACGTTCCATGGTCTGCTTGATGACAGCTTCTCTTGATCCATGCTGTCTTCCCTGTCTACCTTTAATACTGTTTCTTAATTCAATCTGCTCCAACTCAGCACTGAATCGTTCCATATATCTGAAAGAAATACAATTCATTTGTGCTAGATGCAACTTTTTGCAGAACAATTACTTTGACAGTCTAAAAAGGTATTTTGCAAATCATATTTTCAAAATGAGTCAGATACAGTTCAAATCTAATGAAAAATAACTTTAATCTACAAACTGGAAGTTCCATTTAGAACTACATTTGAATCATCTGCTGCTTTCAGAAAGGTGTTGTGTTTTTCTTTTTTCAATTTGCTTTTTTGTTCCAACAGTTTGAGTGAAATTTTCACGTTATCATAACTGATCTGCTCTGGATAACCACTAAGCTTTAACTGCTGAAGTTCTTCTTTGCAATGTCATCAGTGTGAACATCCAAACAGTTAAAAATGGATCCAGAAAATAAAGGTGGTATTGCCTTCACAGTATCAGAAGTATTGACCAGCATAAAAAGTATTTCAGAGCTCCTGAAAGGAAACTGATACGATGCAAATTCTTAAGAATACATATAGGTCATTATTCTTGCAGGTATAAAAACAAAATGGTGGCAGACCATAGGTACATATGCACAAAGCTGAGCTCTAGCTAAATCCAATTTTGATATTTCCTAAAAAAAAAAAAAAAGAAAAGGTGTCCTGAATTTAACTTCACAGATTTATCTTCACAGCAAAGAAAAGAAAAGGATTAAAAAGTACAATTACACTTGTAGATTTAAGTTTCAGTGAAACCCAACTAGTGAACTCAGACAATTAATACCTCTCCACATCATCAGTTGTCCACACACTGCAAAAGCAGGGACATGCTTTAATAAAAACATGAGGGTCACTTCAGCAATTTCAATGCATATTGAAAGATTTTAGAACAGAACAATCTTCAATTTTAACAAAATTACCTACTTGGTATTACTGACAGGCTTACACAGAAAGGAACTGCTAAGTCACTACAGAGATCTGAATTAGAAACACTATTTTTAAAGGCAAATCAAGTTCTTCAGTGCTCTTTTAAACCCAGACTTACTCTTCAATTAGTTCACATGCTTCCTTCTTTGTGTATTCAGTTTTATTGGGGTCAAGGTGACTCTGGAACCACTGCAGTTTTTCTCCTACAAGAATGAAGTTAATGTTGATTATAACATCATGGTAGCACCAGGAAAGATTAAAGTTCTTCAAAGTTATTGAAATAAACTCATTTTCTTTCTTTTTCCTTCAAGAACCTGAATGACATCATAAAGATCTGGCTGGGTATGAAGGCAGCTATAATAGAAACATTATCTTCCTTATGGAAAAGAGTTTTGATGCTTTAATGTAAAATACTGGAAATGAGAGTCTAAAATAATAGATAACCAATAAATGGTTTAATTACTCAAGATGGCAAATAAGGAAAACAAAGAAAAAGAAATCATAACAACAATGGCTGAACAAGAGTTCCAGTTACCACAATTTTAAACAGATTGAATTAAAAAGGAAAGAAGTACTTCATATTGTGTCTTGAAGTCTTGTATTTACTTCAGAGCACAGCATGTCCATTTATCTGTATCTATAATCTTCTTCCACAAACACTTATGAAAAGCATGGAGACAATTGCTATAAATACAGATTCAAAAGCAGATGGTTGGTTTACACTGACCCATTATAAACAAGCTTAATCTTTATGTAATCTTTCTGTAAAGCCTAACCTTTTGTCAAAAATCCCATTTTATTTCCTCTATGTACTACTTCAGAGAACATGTCAGGTACTTCAGCAAATCTACAAAGTCTATTCCACAATTGCAGAGTCAGATTATAAAGACACTCCAATTGGAATAGCTATAAAGTTGGTAAAAATCTATAGTAGAAAATTGTATAATGTATTTGGTAATAAAAGTTTCTGCTCACCAATAATACTCAGACGTAAAGCTTTCTCAGTCTTTAACCTAATGGAGCAAAACAAACATGTTAGCAAGGAAAGGGTAAAGCACAAATAGTTTTCTTCATTTTCCTTCTTCAAAAGAAAGATATTTAGATGGAAGTCAAGGTAAAATGGCTTCAGAAACAGAAATATTTGTTGTAGAACAACAAACTATCGTGCTACTATTTAATAAACTTCTAAATAATTACAGTTAGTGCTTAGTGAACAGTAAACATTTATGTAAAAAGTTCACATGTTAAGAAAATGAAACTAAGAGTTATTTTTTTTTTTTTTAAATAAGAACTATGAAGAAAATTAATCTAAAGTATTTTTTACTCCATCTCAGTCTGTGGTGGGATAATAAAGCCTTCTGATCCTGTAGGATGTGTGTACACAATTCAGTTTGGGATCAATTCCAGTCCTTTTGACATGGACTAAAAGTTTTTTTAACAGGCCCTATGCATTTAGTCCTGGAGCTCTTAAACTCTTTTTGCAGCAAAGAATGCTGTTGAATTTCACTCTATTTCCAGAAAGAAATGGAATAGATAGTAGGGATGAGTATAAAATTTGCTGCTGGAAAAAATATATGTGCATGTTCACTGTCTATATTCAAGGACTTGTGATATTATTAAGACTTTTTCTGTCTGGTACAGAATAAAATTGCTCAAGAATAAAAAAAGAATAATATATATATTGAAAGAACAACTGTCAAAGTTCAAGACACTTCAAAGCTACGTGCTTCTAAATTAAGTTCTTTGTACTCTGTAGAATCTAATGAGCATTTCACAGTTAACTGAAATAACTTGCAGGACAAAAGTATCTCACCTGCTAAAAAAAACATTCAGATCAAAAGAGAAAGTCCTGCTTTCTATAAACAAACATATATGGGTCACTTGGCCATTAACCTACATTATTAAAATAAATACAGATTTTTCAAATAGTATTTCATTCTCTAAAGTGATACTGAAAGCCACATAAAAACTAATGCATGTCCAAGTTGATGAGATTTTCACTAACACATTAATAGAAAGCTACTTTTTTTTTCAGTTGTTACAGATGCCACAGCATCTTGGATAAGAATTTTTAATGTAAAAAGCTACAGAAGACAAACAAGCAGGATGAGTGTTATACCTGCAAAAAGCTGGTTGGCTAAAGAAATATAATGTTTAAACAGAAATGACATATGGGGGTGAAAGGACAGATCTGGATGAGACTTTGTAAAAACAAAGGGAAAAGGATTAAGATGAGAAGCCAGCTTTAAAACTCTGCTATAGAAGATTTCTTCAAGATAATTACGGTTGATAACACATGGAGGGCTTACAGCACACAGCATGGAGTTTTGACAGGTCACAGTGTGCATGGAAAGGATTTGTATTCCCATGCAGTGCTGCTGCACACCAGCAGTCCCAGCTGTGAATCTGGCATAGCAACAAAGTGAGCCAAACTCATCTGCAACGAGTTGCCATGGAGAAAACTACAATGCCATCAAGAAAAGCTCTCTCTTTAAAATCATAAATAACACCATCTATTTATGGTTTGCAACACTAAAAGCCACCATTTGGACCTGCAGTGGTCAATGGATCACTTATTTGTCTAGGCAATTACGTACATAATCAAGCTTATTTTCTGGCAGAAAAGCCTTCTTTATTAAGGAGTACACAACTTATCTCAGTATGAGAAATACCAGAAGATATGATCAGATACTGCCTTGCTGTACTTTTCCTAAGAGCATTACCTCCGTGCCTGCTAGAAAACACCAGTATTCACAAGGAAGCTAATCAAATAAGGCAAGGCAAAGATAGTTCCTCATCTCCTTCCACACAGTGAAAAACATCTTTTACTCAAAGGGAAGAGAGGGTAAGGGCAGGGATTCAATCTTGCAGCAAGCTCTTGACTCTGACTCAAAGAAAAACGTAAATCATACATTTAGACATTAATTATGGAAAAGGATGATTAAAGGTTTTCTTGAGGTTTAGTAGATGCTGTGTGAAGAGCAACACAGGGAAGAAAAAGGTGTGATTCAAGTGGCTGAAGATTGCAGTCAGTTTTCTAAAACCAACTGGTCTGTTACACCTCATTATATTTGGGATTGGTCTTTTGTAGGACACATACAGATTCTGGACAAGCATCTTATTTCTGTCATATTTCATTGAGAATGGTTGCATTGAAGTCTATTTGGATGACATGCTATGAAAGACTTCTGTAACTTAGAGAATTTCTCCTTCCTTCTTCTCCAGTGTCTGGACACTGAAATTCCATGTGCAGATAACAATGGGTAATTAATAGGTTTGGACACAGAATTTATAGAACACTTTGCTATCACAATAAGCTTTGGATGGTCCAGGTTGACGCGCTACTTTTGGCAGGATAGAAGTATGAGGAAAAAAGGGGTTGTATCAATTACCATCAGACTGAAGAACCTGCACCTGAAACAGTAAGAAAGCTTGGAAAAGGAAAGGCAGAAATCAAGAAACAGAGCCTAAGACAGAATCTGCATCCTCAAACTGTTGGGCATGTCTGCTTATTAAAAAAAAAAAAGCTTTTAACATTCAAAACAAAGAGATCTTAAATTAAAGCAGAAGACAGCTCTCTACATTGTCTAATCTTAAACTGAGACATCCTGTGAAGACAGTAGGCTTCACTGATCCCTCACAGAATTAAGGAGGAAGCAGCTGTTCTTTCACTGGCTTGTTTGAAGCACACCCTTAATTAGCCTGCTGAGCAGCCAGTACTTAATGGCTTTCCATAAAAAGGTGCTTTTTCCTCAGGTTAATCCATTACATGTATCGAAAGAGGCCTGTTTGTTCCACTTGGAAGAATACTGCTGCCATGACCAGCTCCTTTTGCTGTACTTTAAAGAAACAGAAAGGTTAACTGTGCTGTTATGTCTCTTAAAAAGGAAAGAAACCCTGATTCTGTTCTAAAAGGAAACAAAAGAAGCACTTAAGAATTTGTCAGTATGGGTATCTACACCAGTATAATTCTGCCCACATAAACAAATCAGAAAAAGATTCGATTAAGTGTGCTACGTCACAATGAATAATCAATATATCCTTTACACACTGAGTGTTTTTGTGTATGTTTTTGCTTTTAATGAAGACGTAGACATAAGCAATAAAAATCAAATATGATTTGGTTACCTTTCGTGACTAAGCTCTCTAAGTGGCAAGGACAGGTATTCAAGGGATGATGTAGTCAATTTAGCACTTAGGAAAACAGTTATGATCAGTAACTAATAGCACACAGTTGAAACCAGTAGTCAGACAGCATGACAACATAAAGCAGCAGGGAAAACTTCTTGCATGCCAAAGAACTGCAGGAATTTCTACACATGCTGCTTGTAAACTCTCCCAGCAGCTCTGTTGAGGCTATGTGAGACAGCTGTGCTTGTAAAGAGCTACTTCCCAGGTGCAAAAAGGTACAGGTTTGCTCTGTGTAAGGCTGTACATCCATCCCCAGCCATAAAGGTTGCACAGTCTCATTGCACAGTCTCTGAGGAACATTTTAACTGTACCAGGAGCTCATAGTGCAACATCTTCAGACGTAGAATTACTTTGGTTCAGCATTCAAGGTACTTCCAAATTATACCTTGACAGAAAATGCCTGAAGTTCACTTCAATAGCTTTCTAAACGAACAACGGTAGCACATCAATGTTTAAGGAGTTGGTCTATGCATAAGAGCTGTGACAGAGTGAACATGAAAGGCAAGTTCTATCTAGCTATGTCTTCCTTCTGCACAAGGGGGAAGGAAAACTACAAGAAAACTGAACTTGCCATGAAACATCACCCAGAAGGAGTTAAATACTAGGTTCATTTACAAGATCCTGTTGGGTGGTGGGGTTATTCTCAGTGAGGTTATTCTCAATGAATTCAGCAAGAGAAGCTAGACCCATGTAAAACTTGGAGTAAAGTCAAGACTGAGCCTCATTTGATGTCACTAGCACAATGCCCTTCAGACTTATAATAAGCAAAAACCTTGCTTAAAATCCAAAAACGAAGTGGTTCAACTACATACTCCAGGAAGATTTTGTGCATGCGACCACGTCATTTCACGTGGCCCAGCGGTGCTACACAGACCTCTGAAAAGAAAACCTTTGTAGCAGTCTCTTTTCACCACACACGCGCTGCCCTTCAGCGTGTACGTAAGGTTACACAGCACTTACTTTTCTTTCTTGTCCTTTTTGTGCGCTTCCCTCGCGAGCTGGGCAGCTTTCCTGCTGTAAGGATGGACTGCTTTCTTCTCTTGCTTCCCTCCTTTGGTTTTTGGCAATTTGGGCTGAAAAAGAAATGAAAAGACCCCTCGGTGCTTAGCGGCCGGCAGCCGGGGGCACCGCCTCCCACACCCACCCGCGCCACCCTGCCGCCCCGCCACGCACCATGGCGAACCCTTCCCGCCGCGGCCGCCGTCCGCCCGGTGCTCCTGCCAAAGGGATCCGGGCGGGCGGCAGAGCAGCGAGCACGAGGTTCCGGGGCCTGGAAGGTGCAGCTGGGGGCTGAGATGAGCTTCTTAGTATTCGGATTCATCCTACCTGTAGGAAATATCCAAATAATTTTCTAGGATGGTATCTCTGATAAAGCAGATTTTATTCGCAATTGCAATGGCGGGACTCCTGCAAGCAGGAGAGCGCACAGAAAACAGAGTTACATCTTTTATTCCCTATTCCCCGACGCTTACCTCTTACTCCCCTGGTTCCTCATTGGCTGAGTACTTCAGGTTCACAATCTTCTCGATGCTTCACTAAACGTGGAAACACTGGACAAACATAAATTTTTGCTGCATAAGCGTAAATCTGTAGTTAATTAATTAACTTATTCCACACCTGATCGTTATTTTGCAGATATCTGCTTGTCCTTTCTACAAAGATAAGATTGGGAGAGAGGCAGGGGAGTATCCTGGTCCCTGCCTTCACACCCCAACCTTCTCATGGAGTGAGACAGTTCAGCCTTGTGTAGAGGCCCTAATTTCTTTGATGTTTGCTAAATCTTTTGCTGAGAGTTTCTTATCCTCACAGAACAGCTCTACAGTATGTTTTCTAATCCCTAGCACACTATACTCACATTGTTTGGAACATTTAACAACTATTACAGTTTTGCAAGAAAGAATTAATCACATAGGTCAGTAATAATGTTTCTGAAACATGCCGCTAACATATACAGTATTTTACTTCTTAGATCAACTATTTCTAAGGATAAGTTACAGAATACAAATGCATTATGTTCTACTTCTTCAAACCAATTGCTACTTTTTTAAATATCAAATGCAGAAACAACATTCCATTCCCACAGTGCCCAGACCTTAGCTTTTACACCTTTTTTAATTAATTTTTTTCTGATACCGTTGAAAATATATACATAAAAATAGACATCTGATTGGGGTAGTCTTTACTACAGTGCTCTGTAGTAAACAAAATGAAATGGGTTTAGTAGGTATAGATGAAATATTCCCACACCCAGGAATAGACTTGATATCAAATTGTGGTTACTACAGAGTAACACGTTAAATGTCATAAAGCAATACTGCAGTATGGTACTTAAAAGACAAAAAGGCACTGTTCTGAGAAGGAGACATTGTTTTAGTGTGATGCTGTGCATCAACTGACAAATGAGTTAAACTGATTTCTGAATTTTCTTGAAAATCTCATTTATAGTTATTACTGCATTACTTAGAATGGAGGAAGGTTAGAACTGTGGTTAGCTTAGTTTTAGTAAAATGCAGGCTTCCTGAGTTCAAGGGAATCAAGTAAAGGTTAAAAGCTGGGTTTAGAAGATGGAAAAAGATGGGCATGAAAGTGAGGGAAGAGCTCACTGTCAGATACAACTTCAGCTTTGCTTGTCTTAGCCTGAAGTATGTACTAGACATACTCTGTAGTGGACTTCTGGTGAAAAGGCACATGTAGA